AGTGTGCCTGATCTCGGGCTCCCCCGTCACCCAAGTGTGCCTGATCTCGGGCTCCCCCGTCACCCAAGTGTGCCTGATCTCGGGCTCCCCCGTCACCCGTGTGCCTGATCCCGGGCTCCCCCGTCACCCAAGTTCGCGGGATTCTGGGCTCCCCATCACTGAAGTGCGCGAGATCCGGGCTCCCCCGTCATCCTAGATTGCGTGATCCCGGGATCCTCATCACCCAAGTGTGCATGATCCGGACTCCTCCGTCACCCAAGTGTGCTTGATCCCGAGTTCCCCTGTCACCCATGTGCGCGTGATCTGGGCTCCCACATCACCCAAGTGCGCGTGACCCTGGCTCCCCGTCACCAAAGTGCGTCAGAACTCGTGCTCCCCTGTCACCCAAATGTGTGTGCTCCAGCTCCCCCATCACCCAATGGTGCGTGATCCCGTGCTGTCCTGTCACCCAAGTGTGCGTAATCCGGGGCTTCCCCATCACTCAAGTGCGCGTGATCCAGGCTCCCCCGTCACCCTAGATAGCATGACCCCAGGCTCCTCCGTCACTCAAGTAGGTGCGATCCCATGCTCCCTGTCACCCATGTGCGCGCGACCCGGGCTCTCCTGTCACCCAACTGCGGGTGATCCCAGGCTACCTCGTCACCCAAGTGCGTGTGATTCGGGCTCCCCTGTCACCCTAGATTGCGTGATCCCAGAATCCCCGTCACCCAAGTGCGCCTGACCCGGGCTCCCCTGTCACCCTAGATTGCATGATCCCAGGATCCCCGTCACCCAAGTGCACATGATCCGGGCTCCCCTGTCACCCTAGATTGCGTGATCCTGGGATCCCCGTCACCCAGGTGCGCGTGATGCCAGGCTCCCCGTCACCCAAGTGCGCATGGTCCCAGGCTCCCCAGTCACCCAATTGTGCCTGACCCGGGCTCCTCATCACCCAAGTGCGCGTGGTCCCAGTCTCCCCAGTCACCCAAGTGCGCGTGAGCCGGGCTCCCCATCACCCAAGTGTGCTGTGATTCCATGCTTTGCCGTCATCCAAGTGCACATGACCTAGGCTCCCATCATCTAAGTGTGTGTCACCCACGTGTGCGTGGTCCCGGGCTTCCCGTCACCCAAGTGTGCATGATCCGTGCTCCCTGTCACCCAAGTGTGCATATCCTGTGCTCCCGCGTCCTACGGTACAGTGCCCCGAAACTTCCCGCTGGCACACAGTAGGCGTCCATTTGGTGTGTGTCCTCAATACGGTTTTGGACCAACATGCTCTTGGTCCCCAGGGCGGAGAATTGGAAGAAGGGATGCAGGAGCTGAAGACGGAGGCGAAATCCTGCATCAGTGCTGAGGAGACACCTTCTCTTCCCCCACAGGTTCCGACGCCAGCACAGCTGAAATCCACGTCACAAGTGGGTCCCGCCACGGAAATGAGGTTGCATCGGTTCCCAACCCTCAGGGAGACCTCTGAGACGGGATGTGGGCCCAGGCCTCAAACCTCAGCTTCTGCGTTTCTCACTCTCTAGAACTGTGTTCTTCCCCTAAACCTTCATGTCACCACCGTGTTACGGTTCCTTCCTGAGGACTATTGGTGGTAAGAGACCCCATCTGGGAGCACAACCTCGGGAACAGAGAGAGAATTCCTTCCAGACCAGACACACACCAGCCTCGTCAGATGCTTAGTGGCTCGTGGTGTCTCTGAGGTCGGCTGTAACGTAAGTGCGAGATCCAGGTCCTTAGACGAGTTAATAAAGTTGTTGTAAGTGGGCCCCCAGCCTGGCGTGCATGCTGTCTGAACCCTCTCGACCAAGGTCTGGATGACGTAGCCCCTGGTGCCCACGCCGGTCCCCACGCCGTGCTGAGCAGGGAGCTGTCTGAGGACTTCTTGGTCCTGATCTACGCCATTGCCCAGGTTAGAATGTTTCCATCCGTTGAAATATATGTTTATGTACAAGTAGATCTAGAGGTATCTACATTTTTAAAATTTACTTATTGGTAAAAGTCCTGTTGCATGCTTTGGCGCTGGAAGCCACTTGGGAGGGTCCATAGAAGAAGATGGACACAGCTTTCTCAGGGCACCATAGAGCACCCTGCGACGCGACCCCTCCCTTCCTGTCAGGGACTCCCTGTTGCTCTGGAAAAGCTGTCCAGGAAGCTACTAGGCCTGGATTCGGCTGTGGCCAGACTCGGGGTGTGCCCGCACGGTGGCCATGGTGCCCCGGGCTTGCGCGTCCCAAAGACGGCCCTGTGCTGCGTCGCAGCCCTTGATGCAAAGCGTGAGAAGGAGCTTATTAGCTTTTCTGAGCGAGATGTGCCTCCTGTATCTGCCCGTGTGGACTCTTCAGTGTCCGGCAGCAGCAGAGGCCCCTCTAGTGCTGAGGTTCCCCGGTGACATGAGGCCAGCCCGCCCCAGCTCTGTGTGCAGGCGAAGCAACGCGCTTTCCCACCTCCCTGACCCAGCCGGACGGGCCTCGGAGGCAGCTAGGGCCCGAGGGGAGGGGCTGCAGAGAAGCAGGCGTGGAGGGGCCGGGTGCCCTCGGCCAGTGCAGTGTCCGGGACCCTTCTCCCTTCCATCCGGCTTGTTCTCGCCAGAGTCCGGATCAGACGCTTGCAAGTAAGAACCTTTCTGATGTGATGGTCCGGTTACAGCTCCTCCGCGATGGGGTGTCCTGGTGACCAGCCGGCACGGCCGTTTTGCTGGGGGTGGCGGGGTGCAGACAGCCAGAAGACGCACGGACACCTCCTCACGCTGACTTCCATGCGCTGAGCCGGCCGTGTGCTGGGGACACGCAGACAGAACTCAGATGGGCATCAGGTCTGTGTAGTGAGGACAGACGACGGAGCCAACGCAGGAACACTGCCGAGAACGAGGGCCGCCTGGCTGGAAGCCTCGGGCTGGTGGCTGCAGGGCCGTCTTCTTGTCGTAGAGGGCGGGTGCTGGAGCTGTCGGAGCGCTAAGGGCCACGGCGGGGGGGGGGGAGCAAGAATGATGGAAGTGCAGTTTTCAAGGCGGCCAGGAGCCCGGGACCCGGGAGTCTAAGCTGGGTGTCGCTGGGAGTACAGTGTGGGGGGAAAAGAGGTGGCTCTTCCCATCCAGTAGCTTCGGTAGGGTTTTAGCTTCTTTTGACAGTTTATCGGCCAGTCAGCTTATCACAGCATGAAATCCACGTGTGCTCACGTGCAGCCGTGTGGTTTCCGGACGCCCCCTCCCCTCCCCCCCAGCTCCTTTCCTGCCGTTTCTTTGCGCGATGTCTGCTCGAGGAAAACGTGATCCCGGCCAGAGCGCCCTCCCCGGAGCACGTATGCCCAGTCTTCGTGGAAGCGAGTCCCGTGCTGTGTGTTGGCACCCTGGCCCTGCGGTGCCCCACGCCGTCCAACCCCTCGCACGGCTCACCTGGTCACGGACGAGACACTTGGGAGGGAAGGAAGCCAGGCTGGAAAAAGAGCTTCGGGCCACATGGGGAGTCTAAGGGCCTCCGGGTAGCTTATAGAAAGAAGAACAAGGCAGCAGGCCGTGCCCACAGACAACACGGGGACCCCGGCCCTCTGCTTTCTTCTAGCGCAGGGTCAGGTGGGACTTGGACTCCGGCGGCAGAAGTACGTGTACGGTGCTCCCTGCTGCTCACTGTCCCCTCCATGAGCACGGGGACAGCGATGGCCAGTAAACCAGCGTCACCCACCAAGTGATGACAGTGACAGGCAGCACGTGCCCGACGTGGTGCACAGCAGCTGCTGGCAGATGCCTGCTGAACGTTGGCCGGCCTCGTGAAGGCGCCCGTGTCCTAGGACCCTGGATCCTGCAAATTCGCGTGAATCCCTGGACACAAACCCCCAGCAAACCAAGCTGCTGGTAGGACGCTCCCTTGTTTTGCATCTGGACAACCACCGGCCTGAACGGAAGTAACGAAGAAACACAGGAAAAGCTTCCTGATTGAACCCGTTCTGGTGACCGGGGCCTCTGTCCTCCCCACTCCCAGCGCCAGCTCCCGTGGCCATGTCAGCAGAGCAGGCCAGCAAGGAGGCCCCCAAGCTTCTGCCTTCTTGAGGAAACGCAGAGTTTGGTCCTCACCCGCCCGAGTCAACACGGGCCCGAGTTTCCCAAGCGAGACCAAGAAAGCACGGCCACCACGTTCTCTAATATCAAAATAGAGCAATTTATTCAAGACACTGAGTACGATCTGTTGATTTTCTGTTGGAACGGATGAGCTACGACACACAAGGTGATTTTTCTCCTCAGAGAGCGTGAAGGTGAGTGGGGTGGAGGACGAGACAGGGCCTGACGTGAACGGAACTGAACGGAGGAAATGCAGACAGAGGACCACATCTGGCTACACATCTGACACAGATAATAAAAACCGCAGAAGCCAGAATCCAAAACTGCAGTGAGTGGTAGAAGGAACGTTTCTGCGTTGGACAAGAAAGAGGATTTAAAAAAAACAACAGGTGGAACAGAAGATTGAAAAAGAGGAAAAGAACAGCGAACAAAGCAGACCCTTACATTTGACAAAGTGCACTTCACTGGGCTGCGCGATCTAGCTTTGAACAGGCCGGAAGTCAAGTCCCGGGCGGCTGTGGGGTCCAGGGGTGTAGACCCTGTGAGGGCTGGGCCTGTCGGCCGCCCTGGGGCGACATCTTTGTGGCAGGTGCGGGCAGGACACACTCTTGGCCGCTTGAAGCCCAAGCGAAGATTCCAGCAAGGACCAGCGTGTTTGTTACTCTGCTTTTGGAGTCAAGGTTCAGTTTGGTCACTAAGACTCCGGCATTTGCCCACCATGTTTTAAGAGCCGCAAACAGTGGCCAACAGGAACTTTACACGAGGACCACCCCTTGGCAATGAAGGGGCCTCTCCCGGCTTTCTGACGGGTGCCAATATCAGAGCTCAGCAGACGGCTGTCCTCGTGCTGAGGACGGGGGTGATCAAAGCCGTGTCCCCTACGCGCTCATGCTCAGTGCCTCCACAGGCCCGGGACGCTCCTTTCCAGTGGCTGCTCGGGGAAGCCGGGGTTGGGGACAGTTGGCCTCCGTCATCCCCTGTGCCCCTTCTGTGCCTCGCAGCCCTGGGCTCCCACCTGATCATTCCCAGGTGATTCAGATTCATCTTGAGGCTAAAGCCCACATCGCAAGACCCTGGCCATGGACCTCCACGTTGAAGGTTGCTTAGTGAACAACGTCCCGCCATGGCCACCCGGCATTGAGTGGCTTGTCACACGGGCCACGTGCTGACCACGGCCCAACCCGCAACCACTTCTGCTCCGCAGAGGTGACAGCTCTGCTTGGGGTGGGGGCCCCGATGCTGGTGGTGCGGCTCCCTGGCTGGCAGCATCCCGAACCTCACACACGCGGCCCTCGTCTGCGACCTTCAACAACGGAGCTGTGACTGCACTGAACTCTGACCTTCGGGGCTAACCATTTAGGGAAGAGAGTTGGAACCGAATACCCAGCTCGCACACAGAGCAGTTGGGTCCCCCATGGACGGGGCTGGTGTAGCTCGGACATCCACATGGAGGGCCGTATGCCATGGGAGGTGGATGAACCCGCTGGCCATCGTTGCTGGTTCCGGAACATTCCCTGTATAGCAGGAGGCTGCTGCCGCCTGCTGGGATGGGCCCCACGGGTAGATGACACCCTCCAGACAGCCTGTCTTGCTGGAGCCTGCCCCCGACCTGGCCAGCTCCCTGCTCCCCCAACCTCGCCTGCTGGAGGAGAGGAGAGGCCCCATCTTTGGCTCCTTCCCTGATGCTAATATACGAAACAGGTCAGTGTCAGGTGGGGGCATGAGGGGCACCTAAGTCACCTGATCCAATGACAGGAAACTTCTCTAGGACACAAAGCCATGTTTAATTTTTTAAAAACAGTAAAAAGATTCCTTATTAAAAAAAATCTTCCTCCTGGTCTCTTGCGAGAGAACGAAACGATGAAGACGGCAGAAATTATTAGTGACTTCTACCTACTAATTCACCTTCAGGACTGGGTGTTGTCCTTCCCGTCTCTTTCGGTCACTCTCACGCCGGGTGGGTCCCGGGGGCCTTTGAGCCGAGCTGTGCGAGGACCGGGCAACCTGCTGTCGGTGGCCTGACTGCGGGCAGTGCCGATGGCTGCTTCATACCATCTGGTTTGGGGAATGCTTCCTGGGGTCAGAGGGCACTGTTCTCGAGAGCGGTGAACACCCCCCAAGAGGCGCCGGAACCTTCCCCTCTGGCTGCAGAAGCACCCCTGCCAGCCTGCAGGGCCCACCCACGGTCTCCCAACCAGAGTCTAACCGCCTTTCCTGAAGCCGGGGAATGGAAGAGCTACCTCAGAGCCTGCCTGTGTCCTCCTAAAATTTGCTTAAAATATGAATCACACAAAGCTCTCTATGTCTGATGGCCATTTTAGGATTTTAAAATTGTTTTAACATAAAAATATTTTTTTTCCAAAAATACTCCGGGCTCTTTCTCTTATAAGTATTTTTTTTCTCCTGTAAAAAGTCCCCCCGCCCTGCCTTCTTACATAAAGCACTTATTATGCGCCGAAAGTGCCCTGGAGACCTCTGATCCGAAGCGACTAGGAGAAAGGGACAGAGCGAGCACGGGGCAGAGGGGAGGGGCGGGCGGCGAGGGGACAGGGGGCGGGAAAGCTGACGGTCAGAGCTTCCACCCTGGCATCCACGACAACGGTGCATCTACGCAGGCATGCAGAAGCCCAGACCACACCGCGCGGAGAACAGAGGTGGAGGGCACACGGTGGGAAAGAAGCAGCACCCCAAAACCAGTTTCCAGCTCAGACTGAAGGCCCCCAGACGGCAGGATTCCAGCCAGTACAAAAACCACTGGACAAAGACGACTCTAGAAAATAGAAAGTGTTGGGATTACAAAGTTGCGCATTTCATCAGTACAAACTGGTCATCCTTTGTGAGAGCAACTGCAGTGTCCAAATTGTCAGGGGGAAAAAGCAGACCCACCACACGGAGGAGAGTCCCCTCCCCCACGTTTGGTTTTATCACAGCATTTTTCTTTTTCTTTTTTGGCACAGGTTTTTTTTTTTTTCCTTCCTTTTTTTCCCCCCTTCCTCTTCGTCTTTTCTCCTTTCGGCCATTAGAGCTTGTTCTGGATGGAAACCAAACCGTGTGGCGTTTACTGGTGGCTTCATGCTTCCCAGGCGGAATGTTCTGGGTGGAAACCATTCCTTCCCCCTTTGATAGGACTGTGTATGTTTCTGGTTTAAACTTCTTGGTGAAGACTACGAGAAGAGAGAGACTCCCATGGCCAGGGATGAACTGATTTCCAAGCACACTCTAATGTAAGTCAAATTCGTACGGTTTTGGAGCGGATAGAACGGTGTCTGACGAGAGCACGGCCACGTCACACATTCACTGCTGGTCCATTAGAACTGTTTTCTAGAATAGTTTGTGTTTACTTTCGGAGATCTAAAACACACACCTGGAAGGAAAGAGAAGGTGCCTCTTATCTTCCCAGACAATACCAACATGCATTTCGAGCCCCTGGACCAAATCTGGCCCCCCCACCCGTGTTTTCTAAATAAAGTTTTATTGGCAGCTTTAGTAACTGGCTAGTGTCTGAGCCTGTGACCCATCAACCCGAAGCAAACAGCACTGTGAGGAAAAGCCAGGTCAAGGGCAGTGCTAGGAACAGATGGGGTGGATGGACCCTCGAGTGATGGAGCAGATGAGGACTCAAGCCTGAGCATTCGGGTGTTGGAACATTTGGAGCCCCCGCTGACCCTCAGTGAGTCAGTCCCCAGCTGCACCCCGCCTTAGTGGGATCAGCACAAAAGCTTCCTTCCCCCAAAACACGTCTGTTGAGTGCCTGCTGCGTGCAAGGCCGTCAGAGCCCAGGACCCGTCACACCGCACGTGAGTGCACTCGGGTACCCGCCGCCTGGCTTTCCATCCCCCTGCCCCCGGCTGCCCAGCAAACCACACGTGCTGCTTACAGAGCCGTCGGACGCGCTGGCGCCCACTTTGTCCCCTCGGGCATTCCAGCACACCTCGAAGATGCCGCCGGTGCCTCGGTAGCTGTGGACGAGACTTCCACTCTGCAAAGCAAAGCGGTCATCACTTATGACGCAAAAGGACATCAGGAACGTGGATGCGGCCGTCGGGGCGCCTGCATGGCTCAGTTGGCTAAGCGCCCAACTCCTGGTTTTGGCTCAAGTCACGACCTCACGGTCGTGAGATTGGGCTGTGCGCTGGGCATGGAGCCTGCTGCACGTATTCTCGCTCGCTCTCCCTCCCCTTTTGCCCAACTCACGGACCCTCTCTCAAGCTCGTGCTCTCAACAAAACTACAAACAAAAATATGGAAGAAGGAGAATGGTCACTCCTCTGGATGTTAGAAATGTTATCACAGATCTAGCATCTCAAGTATTTTTAAACATTTTTTCAATGTTTTTTTTTGAGAGAGAGAGACAGAGACGGCATGAGCAGGGGAGGGTCAGAGAGAGAGGGAGACACAGAATGGGAAATAGGCTCCAGGCTCTGAGCTGTCAGCACAGAGCCCGACGCAGGGCTCGAACCCACGAACCGTGAGATCATGACCTGAGCCAAAGTCAGACACTTTACCGACTGAGCCACCCCACCCAGGCGCCCCATCTCCAGTATTTTCAACGCCTAGAAATTAAAACAATTTCAGTAACCTAAGATATAGGAGATCTGTATGATGAAAACTATACAAAACTTATGAAGGAAATTAAGGAAGACACAAAGAAATGGAGAAACATTCCATGCTCGTGGATTGGAAGAATAAATATATTTAAAGTGTCATTATTACCAAAATGAATAAAGGACCTGAATGTGAGACAGGAAACCATCAAAACCCTAGAGGAGAAAGCAGGCAACACCCTCCTTGACCTCTACCGCAGCAATTTCTTACTTGACACATCCCTAAAGGCAAGGGAATCAAGAGCAAAAATGAACTATTGGGACCTCATCAAGATTCAAAGCTTCTGCACGGCAAAGGAAACAATCCATAAAACTAATAGGCAACCGACAGAATGGGAAAAGATAGTTGCAAATGACATATCAGATAAAGGGTTAATATCCAGAATATATAAGGAACTCACCAAACTCCACACCCAAAAAACAAACAATCCAGTGAAGAAATGAGCAGAAGACATGAACAGACACTTCTCCAAAGAGGACATCCAGATGGCTAACAGACACATGTAACGATGCACAGTATCCCTCCTCATGAGGGAAATACAAATCAAAGCCACACTGAGATAACCACCTCACGCCTTTAGCCAGTGGCTAAAATGAGCAAATCAGAAGACTCTAGATGCTGGCGAGGATGTGGAGAAACGGGCACCCTCCTACACTGTTGGTGGGAATGTAAACTGGTGCAGCCCCTCTGGAAAAGTGTGGAGGTTCCTCAAAAAATTCACAATAGAACTCCCCTAGGACCCAGCAATAGCACTGCTAGGAATTTACCCAAGGGACACAGGAGTGCTGATGCACAGGGACACATGGACCCCAATGTTCACAGCAGCACTCTCAACAATAGCCAAAACATGGAAAGAGCCTAAGTGTCCATCAATGGATGAATGGATCAAGAAGATGTGGTTTATCTACACAATGGAATACTACTTGGCAATGAGAAAGAATGAAATCTGGCCACGTGTAGCAACATGGGTGGACCTTGAGGGTGTTATGCTGAGCAAAATAAGTCAGGCAGAGAAGGACACATATCATATGTTTGCACGTATAGGAGGATCAGGAGGAACTTAACGGAGGACCGTGGGGGAGAAGAAGGGGGGAAATAGTGGGGGAGGGGGAGAGAGGCAAACCATGAGAGACTCTTGAAGGCTGAGAACAAACTAAGGACTGATGGGGGTGGGGAGGGAGGGGGGAGATGGGCATGGAGGAGGGCACTTGTAGGGATGAGCATTGGTGTTATATGGAAACCGACTTGACAATAAAGTAAGAAAAAAAAAACAGTAGACATGTGCCTCTCAGACTTCCTACCACTGGGAAGGGACCTGTGGCGCCTACATGTCAGAGGAGGTCACACCTCCCGCAGGCCCCTCCTGGCCCGTGGCTGGCCAGCTCAGTCAGCAGAGCATGCGACTCTTGATCGTGGATGGGGTTGTAACTTCGAGCCCCACACTGGGTAGAGAGTTTACTTAAAGAAATAAAATCTTTAAAAACATCAATGTCTCAGAGTTGTGTGATTCGTAAAAAGGGGGTGATGTGGGGTGCCTGGGTGGCTCAGTCAGCTAAGTGTCCGACTTTGGCTCAGGTCATGATCTCACGGTTCGTGGGTTCGAGCCCCGCGTCGGGCTCCGTGCTGACAGCTCAGAGCCTGGAGCTTGCTTCAGATTCTGTGTCTCCCTCTCTCTCTGACCCTCCCCTGCTCACACTGTCTCTCTCTCTTCAGAAATAAATAAAAATACATTAAAAAGAAAAAAGGGGGGTGACGTGATTTGAGGTGTTCTTGACCACAGGCCACACCTAATGAATGAGGTCATTTCAGAGACCCACCAGTCAGGATGTGTAGCGTTTCACCAACAGGCTCTGGAATGTGGTTCCTGGGAGGTGGGGGTGGGTTCTGGGAGTCGGGGTGGGGCTGGGAGGCTTGGCCTGGTGTGAGGCGGGTCCCCCAACGCCTCCCTCCTGCGAGAGGACATGGTTACATGTGGTGGTCGTGGGGGGGGTGAGCTGTCTGCGGGCCCTGCACCCCACCTCCTCCACCCTGGCCAGTGAACAGGGCTCCTCTGCCGCCTCTCCCTGCCACAAGAGGGCGTGGACTTGCAAATGCAAAGCCAGCCAAATGTTCAGGAAGCCGCAAGGGACCAAGGAGGTAGGAGGTAGGAGGTAGGTCGGGGGGGGGGCATTCAAACCATCCTGAGATCAGACAAAATGGGTCACAGGCTCTTTTCAACATCTCCTCCCCTAACACCATTTGTCCACCAGGGGAGCCGCAGGCCGAGCGTGCGCTGCGGCACTCTGCACCGGGGACGCCTGCGCGGCTCAGGCAGTCCAGCGTCTCACTCCTCCTGCCGGCTCAGGTCATGACCTCACGGCTCGCGAGTTCGGGCCTCACCTCGGGCTCTGCGCTGACGACGGGAGCCTGCTTCGGATTCTCTGTCTCCCTGTCTGTCTACCTCTCTCTCTCAAAAATAAAAGTTAAAAAATATTCCGCACTATGCTAGCTCCTGTCCACTCTACTCTTCACGTTCAGAACGTTCTTCCCCTCAGCTGTGGCCGGAAGCGGACGGCAGCGACGCGGAATCAGATATTGTCTGTCTGACAGCATAACCCCTTGGCCACCCAAACCTGTTTTCACTCAAACATTGTCAAACGGCAGGAGCACAGCAGATGACACTGCTCTGTCCTCGGCAGTCTGCACGGAGGAGCCGCAGGTGTCGGCGGGAGCTCGGGGGTGGGGGTGCTGGGCCGGTGGCCGCCAGGCTCGACGGACGGCTACGTCTCCCCCTCGAGCCCTCGTGATCAGAGGACACCATCTCGGGACACGGCTGGATGACACTGTCTGGGGTGACTGTACCCAAAAATGAGGCAGGTGGGAGGTTTCACGCCAGGGAAGGTGGGGATGCCCCTTGGGGGGGGAGGACCCCAGCCCACTGTGGGGCGTAGTGCAGGCGGCGCGGAGCCCGGGGGCCTGGTTTGCTCCGACGCTCCGCGTGAGGCCGCTCGTTCCTCAGCACGGAATTCCCTGTGGCCGCCGTGGCCGGGGCCCCGCAAACCCCGGCGGGCACTCCTGGGAAGGACCCGGTGACGGCAGTCGGGAGTACCTGAGTATTCCAGATATGCACACACTTGTCAAAGGAGCCACTGGCCAGATACTTCCCATCGGGGCTAAAAGCTACGCTGTACACGGGTTCCTGGTGTTTGGTGAGTGTGTGGACACACACGCCACGCTCCACATCCCACAGTCGGACCGTAGAATCGAAGGAAGCGCTAGAAAGACAGGAGAGAGAACGTCACCACAGAGACACGCTGGCTTCTTTCTGTTTCCCTAAGATGCTCAATGGACACCATGCACTCTTCTTCTTTCCTGGCTCTGAGGTTTTGAGGGAAAAACAGGCACAGCTTTTAGAAGAGCACTCGGGAATACTGAAAACAAGGCCACATTTATAAGACAAATCTCTTCCCTCCTTTCTTTTGGTGCTGTTAGTAAGGAAACAAGTGGAGATCCACATTAATCTCTTTCTGCGTGTTCTACGGACAGGAATGAAAATCATCTCCTACACTATTTACTACGTTTCTGAAATGCTCTTGCAATTTGGGGCGCCTGGGTGGCTCAGTCAATTAAGCATCCAACTTCTGCTCAGATCACGATCTCATGCTTTGTGAGTTCAAGTCCTGCGTCGGGCTCTGTGCTGAGAGCTCAGAGCCTGGAGACTGCTTCAGATTGTTGTCTCCCTCGCTCTCTGCGCCTCCCCCACTCATACTCGCTCTCTCTCAAAAAATAAACATTTAAAAAAATGCTCCTGCAGGTTAAAACAACATCTACTGTTAGCAATTAAAATGACACCAACAGCCTGGAAAAAGGGAAACTTGAGTCAATAAAACTCTTAATCCAACAGTAATTAAAATACAATCACATCCAAATATGCAACCACACTGTCTTGAGCTCAAACTGGATGTAAAAGAACCACACGGGTCGCATCTGTTACCTGGTGTGCTTTCTCTCACCAGGGCTCACGCTATGTTCCCTCTGTATCCGTCCACTGAAACAATACTGTATGCTGGTGACACAGAAGTACCTTCTGGGCTATCAAAACCTGATCTCCGTGTTATCGTAGGAATTTCAGTGGATTTTAGGACAATTACTTGAATAAGACGGTTCTGATCTTCACATTCTTCTGGTTTCGGCCTCTTAGTAGATGTAGGAATCCTTCTACAACTTTCTGAGACATGGCCTTGGGTTGGGCACCTCGCTGCTCAGCAGGGCTGTGGCCCGACCCCCTCTGACTCCCGTCCCACCCCACTGCATGCAGATTCTTCCTGATTGACCGGAGCGTGCCCCCTGTCACTTGTGCTCACAAATCCATTCTCCCCCCGCGCAAGCCCACGGCTGTTCCTGGTAATGAAACCTCCCTCCCACGTCTCCTGTCTTCCCGGCGGAGCAGACACAGCCGCATGGCTGGGGCGTGGCCACCAGACCCCTAGCTAGCCCGGCATTCAGTCTCAGAACATCTTTGGTTCGTTTTCTAAATTCTTTTTAAAACGCAACACCCAGAGTCGAACGTTCCATCCTGAATGGGGTCCAAGAGGCATCGTGATGAAGCGATTCTTTGACAGTGGCCTAAGGTGACACGGTCCAGGGGAGCCACCTCTTTGTCACTGATAACCACAGCGGCCCGTTCCTCTCCGCCCGATGCTGGTGCCACGACAGGAAGGGGTGGCCCGCGTCTGGCTACAGCGGGAGCCCTGTGTCCTCACCCCTAGTCCTTCTGTTACAACTTGAACCCGCGCACCGAGCCCAGAGTCCCAGCTCAATCCCCTTTCCCTTCTGTGTCTTAACAAACACCTTCACCAAAGCAAGTGCTCAAAGCCAGGGCCACCACCAGCGCGTCCTCCAACCTCATGGTGAAACTGGCCCTTACCCTCCCGTGAGGCATCCCCTGACCGCTGCGTGGTGCACGTGGCATGAGTGGACCACTCCCTGCACCTTGCAAGGGCGGGAGCAAATCTGCAACGCGGCTCAGCAAAGCTCCCCGTTCGCTCTGGATGCGAAGAACTGCCGCTGGCCCCATGGCCGCGGGAACGGCGAGCAAGGCTGCTCTGAGGAGGCGCGCGGGGACTGTGGGCCCTGCGCCCTTTACCTTGCTAGCATGATGTTGGAGTTTGGGTTGCTGGTGGCCGGCCCCGTGGGACTCCACTTGATAGTGTAGATCTCTTTGCTGTGAGCCTGAAGGTCGTGGACACACGTATCCTGCTTCATACTCCAGATCTAGAGAACAGGACAGCAACAATGGGAGCAAGTGCCATTTCTGCAGCCAGGAGTGGCACGACATCACCTATCGTGAGTGTCGGTCACACGTCTGGCTCCCGGGAAACCCTGCCCCCCGTGCGGAGTGCCACTGGCCAGTCAGCAGGTGCCTGGCCACACAGTGCCCAGCACAGGGGTGGACCACGTGCTGGGGTGTGCGCGGGAGAGGCCGCGGCCAAGGACTCTCAGCGGGATCCGTGGCGGCGGACACACCGGAGTTCAGTGGATGGCAGCGACATCTAGTTGGCGATGGGGACGAAGTGCAGAGACAGGAGGCGTGCGGGGAACGGCCAGGCAGAGAGGAGCAGCGAGTGCAAGCTGTGCAGAGTACGTGGGGTTGTCTGGGAAGAGACCGCCCATCCTGTCAGACAGCCGTACCTTTAATGTCATGTCGTCAGAGCAGGACGCTAGCAGCATTCCAGAAGGATCCCATTTGATGGCATTCACCTCGTTCTGAAAGAGCAAAAGGGTTTCAAAAGAAAGGCTGCGAGCAGATACCACAGGCGGCCACGAGGTGGCAGCAACGCGCTATCATCGCCACCAAGAGCCTATTTGCATTTTGCCTGGACAGAGAAGCCAGGCTTTTCCCTCCATCTCTTTATTGCCCTCTTTTCCTTACTCTGCTTTCACATTTGCACAGAAGCACAACCACGTGCCACACGTAACCAGCCGCCCTCATCTACATTTCTCTACCGGAAAAAAACCCTCAAGTAGGAAGGGAGCCAGGTGAATGTTCAGGGCAGCACAGAAAACCAGGACAATCACGGTTATTGACAAAATGACTTTGGAAATCGTTGTCCTCTGTCCTTTTCCTACCACGGCTAAATTCCTGTCCAGATCCACACCAGAAACTTCTCTTCTGGTGCTGGGGGTAAAGTTGGGGGGGGAAACAAGATTTAAGACGGGGGTTAATCCAGGTTGAAGACCACATGACCTAATGCAGCAGCATAGAACCTACAAGTGGTAACACACACACACACACAGTCTTCAAGGAGGGCAAAGAGCTCAAAATCCAGCGCGAACAGCACGGGAAGAAAATGCTGCCACAGTGCACAGGTGCAGCGTTGTAGCAGGGAGCAGCCGTGCGCTGGCAGCGGCAGGAAGGAATGTGGCCGCGGCTGCAGGCAGCCTTCAAGACCTTCAGGATGGGGGGGGTGGGGCAGATGACCCCGAGGCTGAACCTAGAAGCTGAAGGTAAACGCCCGAGGGACAGGCGTTTATAATGGAGCTCGCGGGGTGCCTGGGGGGCTCAGTCGGTTGAGTGTCCGACTTCGGCTCAGGGCATGATCTCACGGTTCGTGGGTTTGAGCCCCGCGTGGGGCTCTGTGCTGACAGCTCAGAGTCTGGAGCCTGCTCTGTGTCTCCCTCTCTCTCTCCCCTTCCCCTGTTTGTGCGCTCTGTCTCTTGATAACAAACGTTAAAAAAAATTTTTTAAAAGGAGCTTGCTGCGTCCGGGGGGAGGGGCGCTGCGTGGCGAGCTGAGCAGGAACGGTGGGAGCAGCCTTCCCGGCGGGATGACTGGAGCCCCACAAGCCTGGGGGCCCCACTCACGGCTGCCGTCCTGGCCTAACAACTAATGTCATACTCACAATGAACTTTCCAATTAATTTCACACTCCTGAGTGCTCAGGTCTGGATGGTAAATTTTATGGTCATGCTACTTGTTAAGGACACTGACGTCTGAAGGGTGTGAAGCGGAGAAGTGACAAGGCCACGTCTGTGTTCCGTGCAGTATGAGGAGGGCCTGGAAAGACGGGGGGAGTCCCAGGGGTGGGCCGCCGGCGAAGGGAGGACGGAGGGGCTGGGCACAGGCGGCGTGCGCCCGTGTGCCGTGCGCATGGCTGTGACACAGCGGGGCCCAGACGCCAGCAGGACCTGGTGCCTGGTGAGAGGTGCTGCTCCAGGGATGGCCTCGGCAGCACAGGGCAGCAGGCGGCCTCGATCTACCCTACAGGGGGGCGCTTTGGAGTGGGACCCACAGACTGTCTCCAGCTAGAGCCATCTGTCAATCCTCTGGCATGGAGCGAACCCCTTCCCCGGAGCAGAGTTCGGTCTCCCTGCCTCTGCAACCCAAGTCACAATTACCAGATGGCCACTAGGGGTGGCTCCTAGGTCTCTGGAAGTAACAGGCTCAGCTACACCTGACAACGTGTGCTGGCGACAGAGGTCGCAGAGACTTCTAGTAAAAAGCTGTGGGGGGCGGGGGGGGGGGGGACACTAGGGTGAGAGGAGACACAGGAAAAAGCCAGCAAAATAAAGAGCAGGATCAGTGTACAGACACAATGAGATGCTAACACGGCAGTCAATGCCTCTGCTTTTAGAAGCAAGGAACCATAGGGACAGAAGCTGGCAAAGGTGACGAACGTGGAAATAAGCAAGGGCTGGGAACGGTGGCACTGGTAACCCCGGCGGGTCTGCCAAGGGGCTGAAGTGAACGGGGTTCGGCATCTCCTGTGGAAAGGCCACGAAGAGCCTCGTGCGCCTGCTAAGGAACCTGAGGCCACGTCAGTGGGTGTCTGAGCGTCCTGGATCGAATGCTCATTATTTTCCGGCAAAGGGAGGAAAATATGGACATTACTGCTTCAAACGTTTTTTCTGTTCCGTTCTCTTTTTCTCTCTGCACGGCACAAATGTGCTAGACTGCTTCATACTCTTCATAGGTCATTAAGCCTCTGTTAACGTTTGCTCAGGGGGCCTGGGTGGCTCAAGATGCTTCACTGACCGGTGAGCGTCCAACTTCAGCTCAGGTCATGATCTCTCAGTTCGTGGGTTCAAGCCCCACGTCGGGCTCTGTGCTGACAGCTCAGAGCCTGGAGCCTGCTTGGGATTGTGTCTCCCTCTCTCTCTGCCCCTCCCCTGCTTGCGCTCTCTCAAAAATTAATACATGTTAAAAAAAAAAGTTTGTTCAATCTTGTATTGATTCGTTAATTTAAGTTGGCTAATTTCTACGATGTCGGCTGAGGCTCACGAACCTTTCTGCAGCCTTCCATCCGCCGTCGAACCCCACCCCCCACACTCCATTCCAGATGTTACATCCCTCACTTCTCAGATCTCCACTGGGCTGTTATTTTAAAATATACTTTTCCTTTCCCCGCCAACACTCCCCATCTATTCATTTGCTACAAGCATCCTTTCCTTTACGTCTTTGTATGTTTTTAGAACTCCTTTTAAGTCTTTCCTGCAGAACCTGACGTGTGACTCCTCTCAGAGCCAGTTTTCTCCCCTGCCTGCCCCCCACTGGGTTACATCCAAACAGCAGCGATGCCCCGAGAGCCCAGGCAGCAAAGGGCTGAAGGAGAACGGACCCAGGACCCTGTGTCCGTCCCAGGCAGGGAGGGGGCGCGCCCCAGCCCCGGGCATGTCCTCCGCGACCGGAGCTCGTACTCACTGTGTGTCCTTGGAAGGTCTTGACGGGGCGGTCACAGCCAAGTCTGCAGACGTGGATGCACATGTCCGTGCTGCAGGAGGCAAAGGTAGTGTTGCTCTGCCAGTCGACATCGAGAGCGGGCGCTGGATGGCAGGGGACAGTGGGACATTTGCGTTTACCACGTGTGCACAGAGCTCAGGTTTCAGACAGTTACAAGCAGAGGCGCACGGAGCCTGACTCTTAACACGGTAAAATGCTTCCCGGTGTGAACACCGCCTCTCCCCCCATAGACCTTCGAGACCACCCCCCTGCCCTGCACGGGTGATGAGCGGACGCTCAGGAGAGAGCCCATGATGGCCCACGTGCCCTGTGGCACGAGTCTCCGGCTCCCCTCACTCGGTGAGAAAGCAGAGGTGAGAACCTGCCCCGTGCTGCCTCCAGGAAGATCAGTGTGGTGCGCGGGCTGATTTGATTTGTTTCCAAGAGAAAAGGAGATGGAAGAGACTTCATATCCTACGTTCAAGAGATCTCGGTTTTTAAAATGTCCTGGGGGAGCGCCTGGAGGGCTCAGTCGATTGAGCATCCGACTTCGGCTCAGGTCATGATCTCATGGTTCATGGGTTCGAGCCCCACGTCAGGCTCTGTGCTGGCAGCTCAGAGCCTGGAGCCTGTTTGAGATTCTGTGTCTCCCTCTCTCTCTGCCCCTCCACTGCTCACACTGTATGTGTCTCTCTCTCCCTCCCTCAAAAATAAATAAAAATAAATAATGTGGTTTCAGGAGTAGAACCCACTGATTCATTGCTTACATACACCACCCAGTGCTCATCCCAACAAGGGTCCTACTCAGTGCCCATCACCCACTTAATCCACCACCCGCCCACCACCCCTCCGGGAATCTTCAGTTCATTCTCTGTATTTAAGTCTCTTGTGGTTTGGGCCCCCCTCTCTTTTTATCTGCTTCATATTCTGTATCTCCCTCTCTCTGCCCCTCCCCCTGTTCACACTGTCTCTCTCTCAGAAACAAATAAAACAATAAATTAAAAAAAAAAAATCTCTTGCAACAGGTCGATGCTCCCAGCAAATGGAGGGTACTTAGCTCTCTGGGGACACAACCGGACTCTGGCACCAGACTTGTGATGAACACTGTTTCTGACTCCCGGGATCTGCCCGAGAGCTCTGTTGAGGGTTTGGGGGTGGTGATGGCCCTGCCACACGGCAGAGCCCTCCCCGTGCACCGGACCTCCCCACCAGACTACTCGGCGCCCTCTCTGAACCTAACACCCCCTTCCTTCTAGAGGAAGACGGTTAGCTTCCTCCAAGCCTCTGATCACAAAGGTTTTCATCAACCGATCGATACCACGGCCACATCTCGTGTTTCTTTTAAAGGCACGTGCGCACTGGACCGGGAGAAGGCCGACCAGTCAGGCTGGGCTACCAAGTGCGTTGCCCCTTCTCCTCCTCAGCCTCCAAATGAGAGGGCTGCCCTCCACTCCACAGTCGCCTGTGCGCCAAGGGGGTAAAGCACGGTGGAGCCCATCAGCCTCCGCATCCGGCTGGCCCCTGTTGTGGGTGGGAGCCCTTGGTCGAGGGCGAGCCTGGGCTTCTCCAGAAGCCAAGAGTGTTGGGTTTTGTCTCATCCGCAGCAGCGCGTTTCAGGACAGCCCCGCGGCCCCGGGCACGTCGCCCGCGTGTGCACAGCAGGATTGGGGGACGGACCCCGCGTGGCCGCGGGCAGGACCCCGGCTGTGCTCGCCTCCAACACCGCCCGGCTAAACCCCGAGTTCCTGGGCCCCCCTCGGCATCGTGCCGGGCACGCGAGTCACGTGCCTGGGAACAGACCATCTGGTGGGCACTGCAGGGGACGGCGCCGGACACCTGGTCTTAAAACTGCACATCCGCCAGCCCTTGCCATCTGAAGGAGGGGACCCTCTGGACCCAGGTGGCTGGCCGCACCGTGAGGCTCCACCTCAGAGCCCCCACTGTGATCTCACCGTGCAGGGTAGGTAAGCGCCGGGCACCAAGGCCCAGCGTTCTGGGTGTCTGCACGCCCTCCCTGCCCACGTAGGGGCCGGTGGGGCTCAGCCTGGCTCTTTCCGGTTTTTCCTTTAACTCTGAACTACTACGGTTCATCCAGGGCCCCCGGGGTGGTACTTTACAGCCCTGCGGCGCAGGGTCAAGACCAGAAAGATGACGGTGCACCGTGCGTGTAGGGCTGCACCATGCGTGTAGGGCCACGCCGTTTCGTCACGCGGGTGGCTCTGTGCGGCCCCCTCCCCGCTTGGGACCCAGAACCATTTGGTCATCACGGAGCTCCCTCGTGCCCCTTTCGGAGTCACACCATGCCCCCCGTGCCCCATCCCTGAACTCAGGCTGCACCGATCTGCTCTCCAGTCTAAACTTTCACTATCACCAGGCGCCTGGGGGGCTCTGTGGCTTAACTGTCCGATTCGGCTCAGGTCAGGATCTCGTGGTTTGTGAGTTCGAGCCCCACATCAGGCTCTGTGCTGACAAATCGGAGCCTGGAGCCTGCTTCACATTCTGTGTCTCCCTCTCTCTCCTCTCCCCTGCTTGTTTCCTCTCTCTCTCTCTCTCAAAAATAAACACTAAAAAAATAATGTCATCATCTCAAGAATGTTGTATAGAATGGAATCACAGAGCAGGTGACCTTTGCTGACTGCTTTTCTTCACTGTGCAGACCACCCCTGAGATCTATAAGGTGTTACACATTACCCACAGTTTACTGATAATTTTCTCCTTCTAACTGCTGAGTGGCTCCCACACCTGGGCTCTGAGCTGCTGCTTCCTGTGGACGGTGGCCCCCCCACCAGATGTCCGTGGGGGAGCCTCATGGGGCAGAGCAATTTCTCAGCTCATCCCAGAGTCTTCGAATGCCGGCAAAGGCTACTGCCTAGCTCGTGCAGTCGGTGTTTCGCCCTGAAAAAGACCATAGCCCCTCTTCTGCCATCTCTCCATCTCCAACAGTCTCTATATTCTGCTGGACTCTAATAAATGGCAAATCACGGCTAGAACTTCCTGAACCAGCAAGAGGCGGTGGGTCTACCTCACAGGCGGCAAAATTACGGGTGAGAAGGTCTGTTGATACATAACGTGTGGTCTGCGGTCTTCTTGGGCCTGTGGGATGGGAAGCCTTTCCATAAAATTCTAGAAATGCTTTGGAGAATATTATATTCTGCTGAAGTCCCTCGTAAGCAAGTTCTTCAAAGTGTCAGAGGAGCGTTATAGAGGTTTCTGTTGGCCGTCTTCCCCTCTGGGAAGTAGGATCCAGAGCTGTGTTCCAGATGTTCTGTTGAATCACATGTGTATGCACGCTTGACGTTCTACGGCTCTGACGTGTTCCTGGATCCTCCCCCACAACAAAGGTCAGGACGCTTGGGCATTTACACCGGACAATACCTTGGCAAGCTGCTTCCAACCACAGTCTCATTGCCAGTTCTCTCGCCGTGCATCCGGAGCGCAGGGTAGCAAGCGCGTGGATCCGTGTAGACTAGGTTGCCAGGGGCTCAGGGAAGGAGAGGAATTTCTTCTTTCTTTTAAAGTTTATTTTGAGAGACCGAGTGATGGAGTGCGGGGAAGATATGGAGAGAGCGGGAGAGAGAGAATCCCAAGCAGGCTCTGAGCTGTCAGCACAGAGCCCAACGCGGAGCTTGAACTCACGAACCGTGAGATCGTGACCTGAGCCAAAGTCGATACTCAACCGAGCCACCTGGGCACCCCAAGGAGAGGGACTTCTTGATGGAGAAGGGATTCCCTTTTTGGTGGGGGTGGAAACATTCCGGAACTAGATGGTGGTGATGGCTGCCCACCACGCGAGTGTGTAGTAGTTTATCCTAATGGTAAATATCACCGTGCGCATCCCCCACCCCCCAGCCACTCTGGACGGGATGGAACAGAGAGCCACCTGCATCTGGAGCCATGTCTCTCACCAGTGAGAAGTCACATTCTGTAACACAGTGGGCAACTTCCACATCTTCAGTGGCAACATTAGATGAAAGTAACATTAACAACAAAATTCACCAGCACCCAAGCAGCGTACCCGCCTTGGGCCTGAGCTACGAGGGCAGCCATGGGAAGAGATGTGCCACATCTCCAAGGTAGCAGAAAATAAGCTGGGACGTCTGGGGTGTCCCTGGCTCCCTGAGCCATCCTGATCGGGAGGTATCCGTGCTGAAGTACCGTGTGCAGTTACAGGACCCCGGTGTCTAGGCATCTGAACAGTCTATGAGGCGCCCAGGTGGCTCAGTCAGCTACGCCTCCAACTTCAGCTCAGGTCATGATCTTGAGGTTCATGGATTTGAGCCCCACGTCAGGCTCTGTGCTGCCATCTCAGAATCTGGGACCTGCCTCGGATTCTGTGTCTCCTGCTCTCTGACCCTGCCCTGGGCGAGCTCTGTCTATATCTCTTTCTTTAAAATAAGAAACATTAAAAAATTTTTTTTGAACACCCAGTCCTGCCTCGCGGGAATCTCTGGCTCAGCCGGCTCCCGACAGGGCCCACGCCCGGCTTGCAGCCTCTCCCCAGGCACTCAGGCTTCTCGGGAAGTGTCTGGGGCCAGCGCTGTATTCAGATCATCACCAGGCCCCCTAACTACCCAGCAGGACTCCCGGCGACGTGCCACTTCCAGGAACTCTGAGGGAAGACGAAACGCTCCGTCCATTTCCCAGAGATTCCCTTAACACAGAAGAGACGTTTCCTGCGAAGGGAAGTGGTATCTACCCTGTCCTATTGCGTCTGAGCCAGTCCTTCTGGCAGTCTGTTCGTTCTGGGACGGGGTCACCTGCCCCAGTCTTAAGAGGCCACATGTGACGGACGGTAAGACGGACTGAGGTGCAGCACGAAGGGGCAGGTGCAAATCTGGAAAGCTGACACTCTCTAGACCCTGGCTGCCCCAACACACCGGGGATGGGATGAGGGCCACACACTGGTGTGGGAAGACGGACCGCCGCAGACCTGACGGCTCTCCGTGGGAAGGTGCTGGCGGCCCTGGTCTTCAGCCCAAGGCGGGGTTTACTCTGAACCCTGGCTTTCCTTCCGGGGGTCTGGAGTTTGGGCACGCGCCAAGCAGAGTATGCCGACAAGTCCAGCCCCCCGTTAAAAACCTCAGCAATGGGCTCCTGGGTGGCTCAGTGGGTTAAGCATCCAACCTTAGATCATGACCTCACGGTTCGGGAGTTCGAGCCCCCACATCAGGCTCCATGTGGACGCCTCAGAGCCTGCTTCCATCCCCTGCTCCTCTGTCTCTGACCCTCCTCTGCTCAGGTGTGTGCACTCTCTCTCAAAAGGAAACATTTTAAAAAATCCTCAGGCATCAAGGGGCACCCGGATGGGTCAGTGGGTTGAGCGTGTGACTCTTAATTTCAGCTGAGAGCATCATCCCCAGGTCACAGGATCGAGCCCCGCATCGGGCTCCGGGCGGAGTATGGAGCCTGCTTGGGCTCCCTTGCCCCCTGTCCCTCTCCCCTGCTCATGCTCTCTCTAAAATAAAAGAGGTAATGATGAATAAAAACCTCAGGCACGGGGTCTTCCTGAGTTTTCCTGACAAACAACTGCCCACACTACTGTCGCGCTGGCTTGCGGGGGCGGGGGGGGGGTGTCTCAGACATGAGCTGTGTGGCCCCGTGAGGAGGGAAGCCTTGCAAAGCTCTGGGTTTCACCTCCTGAGCCTTTGGTCTGATTTTGCTTTGTCTTCTCACTGTAACCCCTCTGATCCCTGGGGATATCTACCAGGTGAGTCCTGGGAATTCACCCAGGGAACTTGGGACTCTGGCCATGGTGTCAGGGAAGCCCAGCACGGTGGCACTGCCTCAGGGAGACCAGGGCAAAGACGCCCACACGGGTTCTGGGCTTGGTGACACGCGTTCCCTCCGTCAGCTCCATTCGTGGCACGGGTACTTTAAGGGACTTTTAGTTGCTCTGAATCACTATTTCTGAATTAAAAAACCCAAAAAACAAAACCCCAAAACAAACTCACCGGAATGAAACGGAAACTGCTGTTTGGCTTCTCCTGTGTGGGCGTCCCAGATTATCGTGGTCTGTGCTCCGCAAAACAAAAAGAAAAAGTTAGGAACTCTTCTTCACCGAAAGATTTCTCTAGAAAAACTGAACATACAAGAAAAGACCGTGAACAGCCCCTTCCTTCGAAACTGGCACGGTCCTAAAGACACTGTGAGCCACACAGGCCATCTTTAATCATCTGGGGACTTCTTTAAAAAAATAAATAAATAAAAAGAAACGGGGAAAAGTAATTTTGGCAATTTATTTCACTCCAACGTGGCCAACATGATTGTTTCAATATGAGATCAATAGACACTAAGGAGATAATTTGGCTTTCTGTCTTTCATCTAGAGTTTTGCAATCCAGTGTGCGTGTTTCATGCTCAGCAGGCTAGAGGGTGGCGCTGTACGCACTCGGTGGCCCCGTGTGCTGCAGGCGGACCCAGCAGCCGTTCCTGACACGCCCCCCCGCCGACTGGTGAGGATGCCTCCTCATCCCCGGCGTGGAAACATGTTGGAAAACCTGAGGCTAAGCAAGCACCTTTCTCGCACTTTTCCAAATACAACAAGGCTGCCCCTCCTGACACTTCCACTGACCAACACCCCAAGAATCGGGGATCCTCGATACCGCACGGCAGTCGTGATCGGGTCAGGGAGCAGTACACGGATCTAGAAATAGGGAGAGAGAACTATCTCCCCCCCTTAGAGAGCAAAGTAAACCCTGGGTTCTTAGGAACCTACTGATATCAAGGAGGCACTCAGGGAAAGAACCGGAGGCCACTCAATGAGCACCCCGGAAATGAAGTCTTAATCCCCTGGAACTTTCACCTTGATTGAAACCTTTCCACCTCCCTGTCCATGGCACTGAAGAAAGATTTTGCTTCGGGGCACCTGGGTGGCTCAGTCGGTTAAGCCTCTGACTTTGGCTCAGGTCATGATCTCGAGGTTCTTGGGTTTGAGCCCCGCATGGGCTCTGTGCCGACAGCTCGGGGCCTGGAGCCTGCTTTGGATTCTGTGTCTCCCCCCACCCCCTCCGCCCCTCCACTGCTCACGCGCATCCTCTCTCTCTCATAAATAAACATTCAATGATTTGTAAAAAAGAAAGATTCTGTTTTCAGAAGGACTGCTTCTATTTTCCATCAACCACAGAATTATGTGGAGGAAAGAGAGGAGCCAAGTATCTTTGAAACTTGGTTCTCTAAGTTTGGGGCCAGCTCTAGACCAAGTAACTTTTTTTTTTAAACCAAGTAACTTTTTTTTTTAAACCAAGTAACTTTTTTTTTTTTTTTTTTTTAAAGATTTTTATTTTTGGTGGGGGAGGCAAAAAAAAAAAAAAAAAAAAGACTTTCTTTTTAAGTAATCTCTATACCCAAGGTAGGGCTTGAACTCAAAACCTAGAGATCAAGAGTCACGTGGTCCTGTGACTGAGCAGCCACACACCCTTCCACCAGTGCACGTGGGCTGTCTGCTGTTTGCTGGAATGCAGCTCTTTTCCTAACGTGGCCACTCGCAAAAAGTGAGTGTAGGACCTGAAGACAAATCAAATTCCAAGAGTGTGTTTTCAAAGGCCACACAGCTCGTCACCTCTTACAGTCACAACTGAGAGGAAGGTGGGAAACCGGAAATGAACATAAAGAAGCCCTGGGCAGGAGGCAGGTGGGAATGGAAAAAACTTAAACTTTTTTTTTTTTTAATTTTTGACAGACACAGTGCGAGCAGGAAAGGGCAGAGAGAGAGGGAGACACAGAATGTGAAGCAGGCTCCAGGCTCTGAGCTGTCAGCACAGAGCCCGACGTGGGACTCAAACCCACGAACTGCAAGATCCTGACCTGAGCCAACGCCAGAGGCTTAACACCCTGAGCCCCCCACGTGCCCCTCAGAAACCTTTTTGGAAGCATGTGGAGCTCGAAGGGCAGCAGTTACCGGCAATGCAGGGCCTGCTCCCTGTGCCGGCGGGTCTCTGAAACAGGCCGATACAGCGCCTGCCTCTCAGCTTGGGAGCTCGGAGTCGTGGCCAACACACGTGATAATTACAGTCTTGCCAAAGGCGAGCGATCATTTGCACAAGTCATTTTCATAATCCAAACAGCAGTGTGGACAACCGGCCACCACCAAAGTTCTGTGTGTACATGTGTGCGCGCGCAGCACACACGCCTGTGTCCTATGTGAACTAGAACACCTCGGAGAAAACAGGGCGGAAGCTCCGGGAGAAGTGTAGACGACAACCCTGGCACTCAGCCTGCTTCAGCATCAGCTCCTGGGCCGCCAGGGCCGAATGAAGGGGTAACGGCTCAGAGAGAGAGAGAGAGAGACTGGCCTGGAGGATGACACGCCAGTGTGGGGGTCAGCACCCATGTTCCGTCCAGGGCCAGACAGTAAATATCTTAGACCAACACCACGACAGTGTTTATAAGTCATGGCTACTATATTAATTTTAGAACCTGAATGAACATGAAGCAGTAACTTAACAAGGTTCTCAAATCATTCTGATGTCAGTGTGAACGTGTAAAGAAAGTCCGGGGGTGGGGGCGCCTGGGGGGGCTCAGTCGGTTAAGCGTCCAACTTCGGCTCAAGTCATGACCTCACAGCTTGTGGGTTCAAGCCCCGTGTCAGGCTCTGCGTTGACAGCTCAGAGCCTGGAGCTGTTTCAGATTCTGTGTCTCTCTATCTCTGCACCTCCCCTCCTTGTTCTCTGTCTCTGTGTGTCACTCAAAAATAAAGACGTGAAAAAGAAAAGAAGGGAGGGAGGAAGGAAAGGAAGGAAAGGAAGGAAGGAAAGAAGGAAGGAAGGAAGAGCAAGCAAGCCCTGTGGAAACCAAATGCAAGAAGAGTATTCACACCCCGGCGCAGAAACGCAAAACGCTGTGAGGACACGCTTTTCTTTCCCGTCTCTTTCCATTTCTTGATAATGCTTCTCCACAGCAAGGACTTCAAGTTCCTGCCGACTCTCAGGAATGACAGGGCCATCCGTTCCGTTCCTGGGGGTCAGGACTCCTGGCTCTGGGCAGCCGAGGAGACCAACCCGAGGATCCCGCTCGGCCAGATGACGCCCACACCACCTGATTCTCCACCCACTCACGGCTTCTAGACGCACGTGGGTGCTCATTGCCGCTCGGCCTTGATCCCGTCACACCCACCCGGCAGACTGTCCAGGGGCTCTGAGGCTACCAGCCCGTGCCCGGCTCCACTTTACCCCGTGCTCAGAGGAGTCTGCAGCCCTTCCACGGAACTCAGGATTCTCTGAGTCAGGGAAACAGAAGCTGGCCTCTCGAGAGAAGACCGTGTGCGCTTCCAAAACGGCTCCGCACTGGAGGTTTTTGTCCAGTGCATCCCACGCCCCTTTGCTTGCTCAAGGGTTGAATAAATGCAATTTGGGGCGTTCCTCTGTCACCAAGCGGCATCCCTCGAAATAAGGGGCGCAAGCTCGGCACAAAGGCCTGTTGAACAGTGGACCCTATTGAGAGCGCACATGTTTTAAGTGAACACTAAGATCGAAAGCATGAAAACAAATCCTTCGCCTTAAGGAGAAGTAGGAAGGCTCACCATTCAACCAACCAACCAACCCCAGGATGCTACCCAGAGATTAACAATAACGAGCATCTAGAAACCAGAGACACCTGGGTCGAGCTAATACTCACTTTGTCTACACCAGCACTCAAAATGTAATTCCCCTTTTTGTTCCATTTCAAGGCAAAGATGGGGCCTTTATGTTGCCCTAAGGTGCTGGCCAGGTTGCCTGTTAGGTAAGGAAACAATACACAGGTTGACTTCCAAGCCAGGGCGGCTGGTGGAGTCCATGCCGGGGAAGGCCTCCTCGCACCCGTCCCAGGGAGGCCGGGCTCACCGTCTTCCGTCCATATTCTGGCAAAACCGTCGTATGAGCCTGTAGCCAACAGCGTCCCGTCGCTCTGCGGGCCAGGAAGAAGCAGACACCACCGATGAGAGCTCCGCAGGAGCAGCGAAGATGGCCTCCCGGCTGGTCCCAGGGGGCCCCTCAGCTAATCCCAGGGCAAGGCTACTCTCCCAGCAGGAGCCGGCTCCCGGCGGAGAGGCTAACCAACTCCGGGAGGCGCACGGCCTGAACCCACAGGGTGACGTACTGTAAAGACAGGCGCAGGAACGGGGAAGCGCTGCCACCCCTCGCCCCTCACCCCGCGGGCACAACGGAAACTACCGTACGGGAAGTGAGGACAGTGAGGCCCGAGGAAGCTCTTAAAGGTGTGTCTGCACACAGAGACGGGGAAAGCATAAAGAAGTCCCAAAGGACCACGGGCCTCCCACGTCCAAGTGCACGTGATGTGCCGCCCGCTGTCGAGGCAGCGAGGGGTCAGCCCGGCACGGCCTTGTGAGCAGCCCTCCAACGGAGAGCACCTGGACACCCCGCTCCCCCGGGTGTGCGGGGGCGCCCCCGTGGCACTGAGGCGTCTGGGCGGGGGCGGGTGCTTACATTCCAGTCCAGGGAGGTCACGTCTTTATTACTGGGGACGTCGTGGCCCCCCTCTCGTATACAGTGCCTCAGCACGAGCTGCGTGGAGCCCCCGTTGCTGTTTTCATTAAGGTTCCATATCCTGGCCGTCGAGTCTCCAGATCTGCAGAAGAAACGCACACACGCTCAGCTTCCCAGTCAGCGGCGACAAGGCCCTCAGACCCCCGGGCTGCCTGCGGCAGGTCATCTGGCCTGGAGTCTTCTGACTCCCGCTCGCTGGCTGGGCTCTCCTCCTTGCCACGTTTGCTGCTCTTGGTGATTTAACCTATCTCTGCGGTGCCTCCCCCTCTCTCCCCCTACTCAACCCCGCTGCAAGAACACAGCGCAGAGTGAGGACGTCCTCGCCACCTGGGGTCGAGTGCCGCACCGAGCCCCAGGCCTCGCTCAGCACACAAGGATGAGGCACTTACTCTGCGAGGCACAATTCCGGGAGAGAGGGAACACCTCGGGCCCCCAGACCCCGCAGCCCCCACCCCCTGGTGTCCTTACCCTGAAGCCAGGAGATCGCTGACCGGGTTCCAGGCACAAATGAACACCTCAGACTCATGGCCCCGAAGGACTGTGGCTTTGTTGGGTGGAATCTCAACGTCCCCGTCTATTTCCATTGGTTTCGAATGATTATCTGTCATCAGAAACAGGAAAACACACCTGGCTGACCGGTATAAAAGAAACTGCGTTCCTGGGAGCACTTGAGTCAGAAACACCTTCTTTTTATGTGCTTAGTATCACCTCTGATGACTGTCCCTAAATCACGGCTTTTGTGCAACGTAGTAAATATATTACATTTCCTTATTTCAATAGGCTCCGAATTTGACAGGGAATTAAAAATTTATTTATTCTTCACAACTAAGGCCAAGCTAATGTCTAACGACCAGCAGCACGAGCCTGGGGAGCAATGATGAGAACCAGCTAGAGCCTGAAGGCTGCTATTTTCCAGATGGGACGAGACATGTTATCTACGAGCACCTTTCTGAGGTATTGCCTCTTTTTAAAATGTATTTATTTTGAGGGACAAAAAAAGCACGAGGCACGGGTAGGGGTCAGGGAGAGAGGAAAAAGCGAGAAATTCAAGAAGGCCCCGCACTGCAGCACGGAGCCCGATGCAGGGCTTGAATCTGGAACTGTGAGATTCTGACCTTAGCCAAAGTTGGAGGCTTAACTGACTGAGCCCCCGGGTACCCCTGAGGTATCACCTCTGTCTGTGAAGCTCCTACCAGGACCTGCCATCAGCATTTCGGAACGCCCGCCGCCCTGCACCCGCTGCCTGCAAACATCCTTGGGTTCCTGGGAGTCAAGTGCGGTGACTTCCTGGAGCCACCGTTGTATCGGAGTCTGCCCAGGACCAACCACGGGACCTGGGTTCCGGGTTCCCGAGGACGTTTGCTGATGGACGCCAGCCATGCTGAATGCCACCGTCAGCGCAGCCATCCCAGAAGCTGGCTGCTTTCCCCACAAGTGGCAGGAGAGGAAAGACCCTCAAAGGTCAGCATAAAATACAACTTCAGGCACCACGGTCTGGCTTCAACGTGCCTTGCAGCAGGATGACACAAACTGCAGGTGGCAGCAGACTTCAGGGAACAAAGGAAACGCGGAAGCCAGAGGACAGTGTACAGGGAGGCGGTGGCTGGGAGCCTCCCCAGAGTGTGGAAGGCAAGCCAGAGGCACCCCTGAACTGAAGGCTCTCTGTGTGCGTGGCCAGCGTGCTTTCAGGGGCGTGCACGTCTGTACACGGCCACGCCCCATTACGTTTTGTTAATACTTCAAAGGAAGTTCTGGGGTGCCCGGGGGGCTCAATCAGTTACGCATCAACTTCGGCTCAGGTCATGATCTCACGATTCTGGAGTTCGAGGCCTGTATCGGGCTCTGCACTGACAGCTCAGAGCCTGAAGCCTGTCTTCGGATTCGGTGTCTCCCTCTCTCTACCCCTCCCCCACCCACACCCTATCTCTCTCTCTCTCTGAAAAATAAACATTAAAAAAATTAGAAAAAATAAAAGAAATCCATGCAATTTACAAGTCTGCAACATTTGTCTTGGGAGACGCAGATTTCTTAAAGTTGACTGATTACAAATGACTTTCTGTGACCAAAGAGTAAGAAGACACACGCACGCACGCACGCTTTGAACTCAGACCCTGAAGCAGTCTTTGAGTATGTAAGTGGCAGATGAGAACAGAGGCAGGTTCTCTGGATGGGAACTCGGGGTGGCCTGCAAGCTGGACTATTCCGGGAGATCTCCGCCGAACTCGCTCAGACCAGGCGGCTGAATGACAGGACCCACGGCCTCCACAAACCAAACCCTTTCACGTAGGACAATAATCACACGGTGCTTCTCGCCGTTGTACGAAACGAGCTCTCCGAGGAGCAGTTTCCTAAATCAGGGCGATGTGCGTCCAGACCACCTCGTCCAAGGACTTCCCGCAGACAGAGCGTGAAGCCCTTCCAAGCACACAGCACGCGGACAGCACACTCGTAAGAGCCGCCCGGATGGCCTTCCCGACTTCCGCAGACAGGTCGGAGAAAGCGCCAGAAGCTCGCCCACCCCCGGAGCTGCGCCCGTACTTATCGCGTGGGCTCCGTTCTCCTCCCCGTTCACCGTGGCCTCGCCGTTCTTTGGTGGGTGTTGCTGAGCAACGGCTGCCGGGGCCGCCGGGGCTGTGGTGGCTGTCGCCGCTGCTGCCGCCGCCGCGGCCGCCGCACTGGCCTGCTGCTGAGCGAGCTTCTCCCGGAAGGCCTGCTGCCGCGTCTGTACCACGTCAGGCATCACCGCGTCGATCAGGGACAGGGACTCTATGGGGCGGCCGTCGAACACTGTGCCGTCCTAGGGGAGAGCACAGGGAAGGCCGTCGGTGCCCACGGGGAAGCCAATGGAGACGGGGGTCCACAGGGGGCTGAGAGCAGGTGGGCACAGTGGGATGTGGGGGGGAGGAGGGGGACAGGTGGGCACAATGGGATGTGGGGGGGGGAAGCCAGGGACAGGTGGGCACAGTGGGATGTATGTGGGAAAAGCTGGGGACAGGTGGGCACAGTGGGATGTGGTGGGGACGGCTAGGGACAGGTGAGCACAGTGGGATGTGGAGTGGGAAGCTGGGGACAGGCGGCACAGTGGGATGTGGAGGGGGACGGCTGGGGACAGGTGGGCACAGTGGGATGTGTGGGAAAAGCTGGGGACAGGTGGGCACAGTGAGATGCGGGGGGCAGCAGGGATAGGCGGTACAGTGGGATGTGGTGGGGGAAAGCCGGGGACAGGTGGGCACAGTGGGATGTCGGGGGGAAATCCAGGGACAGGTGGGCACAGTGGGATGTTGGGGGCGGCGGGGAACACACCAACAGAGGACCTGGTGTCATAACTGACCCGGTACGGGGAAAATATCGGACTGAAGTGAGGCATTAGCACCACGTGGACCTGGCCATTTCACAAGAAAGAGCGCCATCCAGCTGCACGGGTTCCCAATGGGGACACGTCCCTTTGAGGGGACATCCGCCAATGTCTGGAGATGCTGTGGGTTGTCCCCACTGGACACGTGTAACTGGCATGTAGTGGGTGGAGGCAGGGACGCGGCTCATCGCCCGCGACAGTGCAGAGGGGCCCCAGCACAGTCACGCACCTCCACGGGGGGACAGTGCCGAGGGTGACAGGCTGTGTGCAGATGCTACGGGGGGCGGGCCTGTCTGAACCACTACCCTTTCACGTGGCACAGGCAGCTCTCCGGAACCCGGACCAGTTGAGAGATGCTGGCGCCGTTCAGGATTGGGTTCCTCGGCACCTGTCCATCTGAATTCATACAACGTGCACCTGCTGCCATTTGAAACGACTTTCTGGGTTCAGGGCGTAGATTCAATCTAGCCACGATACACAGCCAAGTGCACTGCTGAATTCCTATTTGTATTTCCCCCACATCGTTTGATTCTCTGGCTTCTATCTGCAATGAAAAAGTTGGGGCGCCTGGGTGGCTCAGTCGGTTGGGCCTCCGACTGTGGCTCAGGTCATGATCTCACGGTTTGTGGGTTCGAGCCCCGCATCGGGCTCTGTGCTGACTGCCAGCTCAGAGCCTAGAGCCTGTTTCAGATTCTGTATCTCCCTCTCTCTCTGACCCTCCCCTGCTCACGCTGTCTCTCTCTCTCTCTCTCAGAAATAAATAAAACATTAAAAAAGAAAAGAAAAGAAAAAGTTTCCATACACACTCAAAAACACAGGAGAACTTTCTTTCCTTAGAAATCGCTCCAGGGCCCCTGGGTAGCTCAGTCGTTCAGGTCATGATCTTACGGTTTGTGAGTTTGAGCCCTGCGTCAGGTTCGTGCTGACAGCTCAGAGCCTGGAGCTGCTTTGGATTCTGTGTATCCCTCTCTCTCTGCAGCAAATATCAGAGTCATACAAAACTCATGCTTTTGGGTTGCGTCTACTGAATGCGCAAACACATTTCTGGATGTTCCAAACCTCAACTACCTCAGAAATTAGGAAGACTTGAAAGACACGAGTTTCAGCCAGACGTGATCTAAACCGAACACGACACGGGGCGAGTTCTGGTCACGATACAATATTCAAAAATAAGGAAACACTAGGGAGCTCTAGACACACGTCAACAAGTAGCTGGTCACTTCGCCAGCCATACCCACCCTTCGGTTGCCACTGTGGCTTGCCCAGTGTTGACCAACCAGTCGGCATGCTTCCGTCACCTGCCTTCTCCACATACTCCCGCTTCAAGTGGGTGCCGACTCGGCCGAAAGTAGTTAAGAGCCCAGAGTAACGAAAATACCTCAGTTTAAACTCTAAACACACGCGGTACCCCATTTAAGACCGCAAGCCTAAGTCACTCTGACACGTTGGCGCCGGCACTGCCAAGGAAGAGAAGCTGTAAACCGAGAGATCAGGACCTGAGCCATCCAGGCACCCCAATTCAGGTCTCTCCCTCTGGGATCATGCGTCCCTGTCTCCACGCTTCACGGTTTTGCAGGGAGAGACTAGAAGGGAGGTCCCAGGGCTGGTGGAAAACCGCCCCGGGGGCATCTAACCCGAGAAGAGGAAAGAGAAGGGGCGCCTGGGTGGCTCAGTCCGTTAAGCTTCCGACTTGGGGTCATGATCTCATCATTAAGGAGTTCGAGCCCCACATCCGGCTTGTGCTGACAGCTCAGAGTCCACTTTGGTTCCTTGGTCTCCCTCTCTCTGTCTGCCCCTCCCCCACTCGTGCTCTCTCTCCCTCCTTCTCAAAAATAAATTTTTAAAAAAATGAAGGTGGAGGAAGGGAACACTGTCAGGAATATGCGCACAGGACAGGCAGAAATTTGGATGTTTTCAAAGATGGGGGTTTTTGCAAAACGGTGGAGGAACAGACAGATGTATTACTTCTGTACTTCTTTTAAATCTTCATTTTATTCTGTTGTTTCAAGTTAATTTATCTTGAAAAAGAGTGAGCCTGAGCAGGGGAGGGGCAGAGGGGGAGAGAATCCCAACCAGGCTCCATGCTATCAGCGCAGAGCCTGATGCAGGGCTTGAACTCACAAACCACGTGATCGTGACCTGAGCTGAAACCAAGAGTCGGTGGCTTCACCCACTGAGCCGCTCAGGCACCTCCTAAAAGAGCTTTTTAAAAACCAAAAGGAAAGTCAAATATGACAGGCTTGTAAGGATGAAGTCAGTTGAGAGGGAGAGACGGGATGCAGGAAGTCCCGGTACGATCCCGGGAGACCCGCGAGGGCACCTACCTCGTTGATGCTGATCTCGGCCTCCACATACTGAAGTCCCTTCTGCAGGATGGAGATGAGGGCGGCTGGCGGCACTAGTGTCCCATTGATGTTGGACTGGCTGATGTGGCTCTCGATACCGAACGTGAACGCCGAGTGGGAAAAACCTGCCGCGAGAGAGAGGGAAGCCAGGGTTTCGCGAGGGCCGCAGGCGGCACCACCACCGACGTCAAACGTGCCTCGTTAGCAGGGGGCCCTGGTGGCTGTGGGACGCCCAGCTTCGGGTCCGGGGAGAAGCGGAGAGACGGATGCGGCAGGGTCAGGCCTGTCTGCCGGGGACGGATGGACACACAGCTTTGGAGGTAGAGCCATTTCAGTATTAACGTCTAAGCGGAGCCGGTCTGCCCTGGCTGGGAGCGGGGCCTGGGCTTCTTCCTGTTGTCCCTCACTCCCTCCGGAGCTCCCTGTGCCCGAGCATCCCCAACCCCGCTGCGGCACATGGGGCGCCTCTTTTAGCCGGGGTCCGGCGCTCAAGGCAGCGGAGGAGGAGCCACGCGAGCAAACGTCCGAGGAAAAAGAGGCCGTTCTCCAACCCCCTGGGGTGGCTTGAGCTGTTTTGTCTGGTAACTGGCCATTTTCCCTTGGGTGTGAGATGCCGACCCCCACCTTTCCTGTGGTAGGAACCCCTCCCTAAGAAGAAAAAAAAAATGAAGAAGATAGGATAGAAGACTTCAAGGTCACCTAGATATGGGTCCAGGTGCCTACATCCCCTGTGTTCTTGTAAACTGAAACAACTTAATCAGACTGCACGTTTATGTGTGTTACCATATATGGGAGACAAAGAAATAGAAAATGTATAAAAAAACTATACCATGTGATGTGGGCCGCTCAGTTCTTTTGGATACGAACCCAAATGAGAGGTGCCGGCACGAATAAAGTTGCTTCCTAGAAAGAAAAGCCTCGGTGTCACGACTCTCTGAGCGAGAATCCTGCAACATTCTCTCAGCACACGTCAGGGTGGTTCCCGCACACAGCAGACAATGCCGGTGCCAGAGGGGGAGGTGGCAAGGCGCAGGGCACTCGGACCCACGTTGGGTCCTAGGGCGATTGGGAAACTGCAGGGGCCTTCCTCAAGGGCAGTAAAGGGGCACCTGACAGCCGAGCCCTGGGCAGATGCAGCCCTTCTCCACAAGGGGGCAGTCCAGTCTGCTGGGGGTCCCGTGGTCACCTTGCTGGGGATGGGGCGGCCAGGGGTGCCCGAGAGCTGGGAGTCCTTGTGGGGTGGAGGCTGTGTCATTAACAGGGACCCCTATGCTGGGGTCCCTGGCTGCGGGTGGAGTGGGGCCAAGGGCACTCGGCTGCATGACTCGGATCTCTCCCACCGTGGTACTGTCGGAAGGGAACGCTGTGGTCTTGGGGGTGAGGCGTCCACCTGCCCCTCCGGACCGCCCCGCCCACGTGTTCACGCACCGCGTGTAACTGGCCCCGCCAGGCTGCCCTGCTCACATTCACGGACAGCGTCCACTTGCCCCGCTGGGCTGCCCCGCCCACGTTCACGAACGGTGTCCACCTGCCCCGCCGGGCCGCCCCGCTCACGTTCGTGGACAGCAGCACCGCAGTCTGCTGGGCCCTCCAGCCTGTCTGGGAGTTCACCCCCTTGGCGTGGCTTCTCCTCGGCTGGGCCGGCCCCATCGCTTGTGGTGTTCTGCAAACCCCGCTCCCAGGGGGCCTCCCCAGGCAGCACGGTCCCAGCACCAATGGCTCGTCCCACGTGCTGGATGGAGGGCTGCACGGACTCCCCGGGGTGCCGCCTGGCCTGCGGAGACGCGCACTGCCTGCCTCCCTCCCCCACGCGGCTAGAATACCACCTTCACCAGCCAGCCAGACCGACAGCGGGGCAGCGAGCAGGCCCCGGCCGCCTCTGTCACAGTCCGCAGGGCCGGCCCTGTGCCTCGCCTGGGCAGGATCCCGGGGATCTAGCAGCCGATGCAGTAACCCCGGTGCTCAGCGGATGGGAATGTCCCTCCGCAGCCCAGGGCCTGCTGTGTGTGCACTCTCCTCTCCTTTCTCCACGCTCCGCCCCGCCTCGACACAGCCCTCCTGGCTCCCCGGTGCCTGATTATAAAGAACGTATAAAACGTGTACTTTATTTATTTCACAGAGTCTATGGTAGCCGCTGTTACTTTTATAGCCTGCTGCAGAGGCTGTGAATTTCCTCACCCCACTGTAACTACGCAACTGCCCCTGCAAGGTCCCCCCCCACCCCCAAACTTTCCCCACCCCACGGGCTTCCTTCCCTGAGCCTGCTCTCCTCCCATCTGTCCGCCACCCTCGGGCGGGAACACAACCACCACCCCTGTGTTAACCAGTGACTACGCCCCGAGTCTCTGCCCTGCTGCAACTCTTATCTCCAGGCTTTCATCAGTCAGGTTGCCGGAGGTGTAGACGGGAAAACCCCAGGTCGGTAGACGGATCAGGAGCAAGTCGATTCCTGGCCTGACTCCCTCCTGCCTGGGCTCTTCACCACATACTCCGGGCTGCACTGATCTGTCCGTCTTACCAACTCCTGAATCTTCCTGCCTGCTGGCCCCACTCACCCGGCTACTGCCTTCTCCTCCATCTGTGGTCTGGACCAGCGAATGGGGCAGGACACTGGATTTCCAGGGCCATTTCCTATTCTGGTTGGTATCTTTAAAGAGTCTCCTGCAAGGAACGGCAGGAATATAAAAATAATAAGCAGGCTGTAGGGCTGGGGCTGCGATCCAAGCCCGGGCGGTGGGAAACCACTCACAGCCTCCTTGGTGCCTCCACCTAGAAATATCTCCTGATGCCACTATCAGCACAGCACTGAGGGCAGACAAGGGCTCCGGAGAAGTCACCGTCACTGAGCAAGGGGCAGCAGTGGAAGACGGCAGGCTTCTGGTAGGTGTCTTGGTTCCTACAGTCGCGGCTGTAACAAGATCCCACAGACTGGGGGATTTATAAACCACAGACACTTATTCCTCACACTTCTGGAGGCTGGGAAGTCCCAGACCAAGCTGCCAGACAGATCTGGGGTCTGGCGAGGGCTGTTTTCTGGTTCATAGATGGCCGTCTTTTCCATGTCCCCACACGGCAGAAGGGGTGACCTAGCTTCGGTGGGGGTGGGGAGGGGCCTAAGGACACGAATCCCATGCCTGAAGATTCCGTGCTCACAACCTAACCACCTCCCAAAGGCCTCACCCCCTAACACAATGACACGAATTTGGGAGGGATGGGAAATGCAGTCTAGCAGGGTGTTTGCTTCCTCCATCCCTTCTTCCTTCACCCTCTCCAACACCAGCCACAGAAGGGCCACTTCAGGCACACAGAACAGCACATTCTGACCACATTAATGCCTTTAACCAAATCAGGGCACTCTGTGTCCACTATCTCTGCCTTCAGGGCAGCCGATCAGTTGGTGTGGTTACTGCCTTACATGCAAGAAAGGTAAATACTACAGATATTAGGTAAGCGGTTCAAGGTTCGTGCACGCAACGAGCGAGGCTGCAGTGAGGTCGACTCCAGACTAGGTGACCCCACGATGCTCCGCTTCACCTCCCCTGTGACACCCAGAAGAGTAGGAACCAACACTCTCAGCGCCTCCGGGTGGATGCCATCTCCGTTCCCAGCCGGGCCACGCTGGCGCAGCAGCAAACTTGAAAGGACGAGGTGCAAGCTTACATCTAACACGTCACTCATCCATGAGATCCTTCCGCATCCGGGGGTTTAAATGTTGCCTGTAGGGGCGCCTGGGTGGCTTAGTCAGTTAAGCGTCCGACTTTCGCTTAGGTCATGATCTTGCGGTTCGTGGGTTCGAGCCCCGCGTCGAGCTCTGTGCTGACTGCCAGCTCAGAGCCTGAAGCCTGTTTCAGTCTGTGACTCCCTCTCTCTCTGACCCTCCCCTGCTCACGCTGTCTCTCTCTCTCCTAGAAATAAATAAAATAAAAAAATTAAAATAAAATAAAATAAAATAAATGTTGCCTGTAAAGTCTAGTTGCCTAAGTTTCTGATCTCTCTCTCTGTGATAACGCTTTGCAAGGTAGAGTCCACTTCTAGAACATGGCGAGGACAGTATTTGGCGAAGACGTGTTGAAGGAAAAGGATGGAGCAGTGAAGATTAACCCAAGGGGTGGGAGTCCAAGACTCCAAAGAGCATGGGAGAGGAATCGGGACATTGAACTTCCCCGATGAAGCAAAATGACTGAGCAGATAAAGGTATACGGGAGTGCCATGACCCTGAACATGTGTCATTAAAACTGTGTCCTCAGGGCACCTGGGTGGCTCAGTGGGTTGAGCCCCATGTCGGGCTCTGTGCTGACAGCTAGATCAGAGCCTGGAGCCCGATTCACACTCTGTATCTTCTTCACTCTCTGACCCTCCCCTGCTCACACTGTCTCTCTCCCTCTTCCAGAAATAAATTTAAACCATCTTAGCTGCGTTTCTTTGGGCAAATCTATGCATAGTCTCTCAATTTTTTAAAAATCCATTTGTTTTTAAGACTTTGTTCTTGCAGGACTGCAGGTGGAGAAAACGTCAGTTAACAGGCAGAGCACTGGGTCTGTCCTCGATCCCCCGTGGGTGCCTGGGCCAGGTCACTTCGTCCGGCTGGGCCTCTGTTTCCTCTTCTACGTGTGGGGTTAGGAAGTACCTCGAGGAGCTGAAGGCAGCAGCAGATGCGACAGCAGTAAGGCCCGCAATACGTCTTTGAATCCACAGAAGAGCTCGGACCAGCAGACGCCACCTTTCTCCGCCTCCCTCCCCTGTGCGGTGAGGACACCGGACGGGGCACTCACTCGGACACTTTCAGTCCCAACGTTCGTTCACCGTGGAACAGAGAGACGACCGCAGACTACGTGCGCGAGGCCCGCTCGAGCACTGTCTCAGGCCACGGCTGCCACGGTGCTGTGCGAGGCGCCATCTTGGAAGACTGGCATGTCCAGACAGGATGCCTGTCCCCTGGGGCGGGCGACTCCAGCCCGCCAGCACCTCACTCTCCCCCACTGCGCTCCCAGGCTAATGAGACTGTTCCCCTGCCGTCTGCCGGAGCCGCAGGACTCCGTGCCTCCTGCCTCTTCGGCTGTCCTGCAGGGTTTCATGATCCTCTTCTTCCGCCCCAGGGGACATCCGTACCCACAGAGCACATGAC